GTTTCTAGGGAATGGACTAGCGTAGGGTGCAGTTTATAGACCCGGCCCAAGGGACTGAAAGCACGTAGTCGCAGCTGCGGGCGCAGTGCACTACAGGTTGGGTCTAGCCCCCGACGAAATCGCGGACTACTATTGCGCCGGGCTACCCACAGACCTCCATCTCCTAATAACCAATAACGGACACGTGGAATACCAGTCGTGGGAACAAGCGGCAACCGCCGCAACGCGGATCTACGAGCCCAAGCAGAGTGGAACTCCGAGAAAGGATCAACCGAGCCATTAGGGCGGCCGCCCAAGCTAAGGGACTTAGTGGGCGCCAGGAAATCGAAAATCGTTCTGGGGGAACCCACGCTAACTGCTTTGAGTGTCAGAGTCGCGGACATCCGGCACGTGTCTACCCTAGCAAAGGGGAACGTACCAGACGTCCGGGGGAAATCTGCAAGAAGTGCGGCGGTGTCAGACACTATGCTCGGGACTGTCCTACGTATGAACGAGGCCAGCCCGAGCAGGTGGACAAGGGCAGTAGAGCGCCCACCCGTCCTAGCACTGAGAAGACGGAACGATCAAACGTGCGGGCCTAGGCGTGGGTGGAGACCAGCGTTCTAGGCAGCGTAGCCATGGCAAAGGGATGATGTGTGCGGTAGCGACAGGCCCTAATGCCATTCCAGTCTCCCACGAGATGGGAAACCAACTCCTCCGCACTGCGGGAGGAACCGATAAGAGCGACGAGCGCGCGGAAGGGACTCAGCCGCTTCCGGAAGCGCGACGGGAGTCTGGGTCAGAGTCGACCCTGAGTGAAGAGACTCCGGACGCGACGATGAATAGCAGCAGGAAGTCTGCACAGGCGACAGAAGACGGAAATAGGTCAGCCGCGACAGAGATTGTGTCACACTGGTGGAGGGAGACTTGCATGAAAGAGTCTTACGATCAAGGGGGAGCGTTGTGCTGTGCGGGTGCGACGGCGGTACTTCGCGTTGAGCTTGTAGGGAGTCCTTGTGAGGCTCTCTTGGACACTGGGGCTTCGACAAGTTTCATTAGTCCTAAATTGGTCGAACGACTGCAGCTGAAAGTGCGGAGACTACCAAAGGAACATAGGTTCACCACTGCTACAGGTGCACAATTACGCATTGATCGGGTAGTGACGGGATTGACGTTGTGGTGCGGACATACACGTTTTTCCGGGGACTTTCTAGTGGGACCCGTTCCCTACGACTTAGTCTTGGGTTTGGATTGGCTGACGGAACACAAGGTGGCCTGGTACTTGCAGTCTGACAAACTCCGAACCTATGTGAATGGCCAGTGGTACGAGTTACCAGTCGTTTGGACTGGTGAATCGACACTGCAAAGTGATAGTCCCACCGTAGTCCACCCACGGACTCCAGCAGAGCAAGCATACGAGTATCTTGGCCAAACAAGTGGCGGGTAAGTCAGCCGAGGAGGCAGCTGTATTCCTACGCCCGCCTCCAAGGAAGTATAAGTCCCACGCGAAGACTAAGGCAAAGGCGCGGATAACGTCGCTCGTTCGTCAGGCGGCGGACGATACTAACGATCTCAGGACTCCGTTGCACGGTTTGCATCTCATACTGGCTTTGCCCGGGGCTTGTTCGGCAGTGCCCTTAAGGCTCTCGGATGAATAGCAAGGCGCGCTTTGTTGCGCGTTGATAGGGATTCAACCCACGTCCTCCGGCTGCCGTAGTCCTTTGGCCTCAACCGCCTCGGTGACAGCGGAGAGTGACGAGGAGTCCCCCTGGCCTATGGCAAAACTCGAGCACACTCTATTCGACGAATGGATCAATTCGACTGAGGCGCAGGATATTCCAAGTGAGGTTGCCCAGGTGCTGCACGAGTATCGGGCGGTTTTTCCCGATATCTTACCTAAAGGCTTACTTCCGGAGCGCCCTCATGATCATCATATTCTCCTGGCGCCTGGAAAACTTCCAGCGAGATCTGCAATGTACCGTATGACCCCAGATCAGCTCACTTTCCACAAACAGGAGATAGCCAAATTATCGGATAATGGTTGGATCGGACCGACCTATTCGCTTATTTGCTCTCCTACGATCATGGTGGACAAGCGTGATGATGGCTCTGGGGAGCGGAAGATGGGGATGGTTGTCAATTACCAGGCTCTAAATGCCCGTACGATAGCCCCTGATTTTCCACTACCTCCCATTCAAACCATTCTGGAGCTGCTCGGAGGCGCCAAGTATTTTTCCACTTTGGACCTGGAAGCAGGATTCCATCAAATGCGTATGGCTAAGGAAGACCGGTGGAAGACGGCTTTCCGGTCCGTTCTCGGGCTATTCGAGTACCGCGTGATGCCCTTCGGCCTTAAGGGAGCTCCCGCTACGTTCCAGGCCAATATTAATGCCTATTTACAACCCTTATTGGGGCAGGGCGTTATTGCGTACCTGGATGATGTACTTATCTATAGTTCCTTACTCGCGTTCTGCATTCGCATCACAACCATGTCACAGCCGGCCATCGAGGCCAGAAAAAGACCTTTGCGGCTCTCAGTAAGCACTACTACTGGCCTGGAATGCGTGCCTACACTACCGCTTACGTTGAGTCATGTACCAACTGTCGCGCTTCAAAGTCCATTAACCAGAAGCCTGCAGGCCTTCTTCAACAGTTGCTCATCCCTTCTCGTCGATGGGCGCACGTGAGCCTCGATTTCATCACAGATCTTCCCCTTACAACGACAGGGCACGACTCGATCCTTGTCATGGTCGACTCCCTTAGCAAGATGGCTCATTTCGTTCCTGCAAAGAAGTCATTCACAGCAGCAGACACCGTGGAGCTTCTCGCAGACCGCCTTATCCGCTATCACGGTTTTCCAGAGGTGCTCATATCGGACCGCGACCCCCATTTCCAGTCGGATCTTTGGAACCAACTCTGCCGCCGCTTTAACATCAAACGGTGCATGTCCTCGTCCTACCATCTCCAAAGCGACCCCCAAACTGAAAGGCTTAACCGCACACTGGAGCAGATGCTTCGTACCTATATCAAATCTGACGAACACGAGCGGGAGCGTTTGCTTCCAGCCTTGGAACTTGCCTACAACACAACAAGCCATTCATCCACTGAGCTCTCTCCTTTCGAGGTCATGATTGGAGAAAACCCATTGACTGCGGCGGAACTTGATATCGTAGGCGCGTTAGCTCCTACACTCACTCCTTCCATGACTAAGCTTTTTTGGCAGCTCTGCGACAGAGCGCAAAGTCACATCCTGAAGGCAAAATGGCAGCAGAAGTATTACGCAGACACAAAGCGTCGAGCAGTGGAATACGCAGTGGGAGATAAGGTCTGGCTCAGCAGCAAGCACCTACCGCCTTTCAACAGCTGCCCTAAGCTCGAGCCCCGCTACCGCGGACCCTTCGAAGTCCTCGAACGCATAGGAACTGTTGCTTACCGTCTCGCTCTGCCTCCCACTTATGAATGCCATGATGTTTTCCACGTTTCGCAGCTAGTTCCCCACCGCCCCCGCCCTGG